CTCCTAGAGGCGCTAATAGGGTCTATTACAACCTATACTAGTTGCGTTATAATACTAGTCCTAAATATCTATAGATTTTATAGTTAACCTACCTGCAAAAGATAATAGAAAACCTTAGTACCTATTAGTTATTACTAATAGATTGTCTAAATATATTTAGCTTAAGGCAACAGTCTCTATAGTAGCTGATTATTGTGCAAGGATCTTCTAGGATAACTAGTGGCAGTTCTAGGGCTTCCTATCCTCTATTATTACTAACTAAGGCTCTAACTAGTTAGGATCTTTCTAGATAATGTTATGCTAGATAATAAGGATAAACTAGTTACTGTTTACTGCATACCACCCTTAGATAGACAGCGGGACAGAGCGGGCAAACCAAGAGGTGCAGGCAGTGCTGCGCATAATAGTATGCTTTAAGCAGACTAACTAGCCTAACTACCTACTAGCCTGCTAACTTACACTTAATAATAGGGACTCTAGCATAACTAGTATTAGCCTAAATCTGCTTTTAAATAGGTATATAGCAGACACGCTATAAAAGGCAGTATTACTACTAGTAAAGCCTAAGAATCCTTATAGAGAGGCTGTGGCGTTCTTGTTATACCTATAGAGGGGTGTAGAGCTAGCGCAAGCTACTATCGCGTTCTAATAGCAATAATAATAGGAAGCAATAAACTAGTCTAGACGCCTAGCTAAAAAATTCCTAAAAGGTAATATAGTTTAGTTTGTAATACGTAATATAAAGATAAACTAACTAAGTAAAAAGTTTAACTAGCTATAGGTAAAGTATAAAGTAATAGAAGTTCCTACTCTACTTATAGTAGTATTAGACTTACTAGGGAGCTTACATAAGACTATGCATATAGATCTACTAGAGAGAGCTACTAATAACCTGCTGCTAAGCTAGAAGCTTTAGGACTTACAACTAGGTCTAATAGTTACTCTAGAAAATAAAGATATAATACTAGATAAATAGGAAGTAGAAGAGATCCTTTATACAAAGAATACAAGGGGAAAAGGAAAGTATTAAGTCCTAGTAAAATAAAAGGGGTATGTTAATCTAATATAGCACCTGCTAGAGGTAGTGCAGGATACTAAGGCTCTAGATAGGTTTAAGGAATAGTATAGGGATGCTGTGCATAATAATAGCCTAATATGTATAAAAACTAGGAAGCAAGGGTAAAAGGAAACTAGAATAATAACTTAGACCTTAGTTATAATTAAGAAGTAGAAAGGTATTAGAGAAATCTTTTAATTATCCTACAACACTCTAAGCAAGTGCCCTACTACTAAAGTTTTATAATATAGCTAATAATTAAGTAGTAGTATCTATACTATTACTATCTATAACTAACCCTCCTCTAGCCCCCCCTAAACTATTATTTATATTATTCTAACGCCTTTACATCTCTTAGTAATAGTGGTGACGCTTACGCGCGTTACAGGTAGGGGACAACTTAGTTAATAAGTAGGAGTAGTAGTAGTAGCAGCGTTAGGAGGAGGGTAGTGCTTTAATAGCTTGCTAACGCGCAGCACCCTAGGCCTAAAGAAAATAAATATTAGAATAGATACAAAGGGAATAAGGGAAAACTAATACTAATAATAAGAGTCTTAATACCTTAGGCAGTGCACTTAGCAGCGCTCTTAAGCCTATTAATACAAAGGTTAGTTTAGGCCTAGGTCTTGTTTATATACTAGTTAATGCGCTAGAAGGTAACACTAGTGGCAGCAGCAAGCTATATAATATTATTATTGCTATAACTACTATATAAAGGCGTAATAGTAGACTAAAGAGGAAATGCTAGAGCACTAGTAGTAGATAGAATAATAGCACTAAGCTAATACTAATTATAGGCGCGCAAGTAAGTAGTAGGAGCGAGCAGAGTAACAGCGTTATTAGTTTAAGCCCTTAATATAAGATCCTTAAAATAATAGTAGAGCTAGTAGAACTATAGCATAAACTAGTAATAGGTGCCTTTAGTAGGTTTCCCTATAAAAGTGCTAAGGGTCCCCTTCTTTGCGATATAAAGGCGATCCTCCTAGTAACTATAACAAAACTAAAGCTAGTTGCAGAGGGCTTGGCAAACGTTAGGATTATTAGCAAGGATAGCTTCTAACTAAGTACAAGTCTTGTGGCCGCGACAGTAGGACTTGCATAAGCGCCCTAGATATGGTTAGAACTTGCTACAAAGGAAATAAAAATTAAGGGGAACTTACTACTACCCTCCTAATAGTCACACTTGCTAAAGAGACAAAGCTAGTTAATATACTAATTATAGGGAAGTAGCTTTATAAAGCTACTATTATATTCCTTATTATCTAAGTTACTAGAAATAATAAAGCTACTAAGCAACTAGGTTTAGGGAGATGTGTGCTAAATAAAAAGTTAGTGCAGGAAACATAGGGAGAATATTAGAAGTACGCACCTTATCTTAGTAGGCCTAGCGCAGGGTCTAACCGCCTTATAGTAGATCCCTACTACTAGTACTAGTAGCTATAGATAGAGATATAATAGAGGCTATATAGGCTAGATTAATAGAAAAAGAGGGGAGATAAGACTAATTAGCTAGGAAAATCTGCTATGTAACAAAGTAAGTTTAGGAAATTTATAGTAGGGTAGGATAGCTATATTAGAACTTTTATAGTAGGGTGCTAAAACAAGCGTATAGACGCCACGCACGCGTACTGCTTAATATACAGGCCTATTATAAATTAGGAAGGAACACAAAGATATAACAATAAAACTAGAAAATATAGCAACAAAGCCTAATATAGATTATAGAGGGTAAAGATATAACCCTAGACCCCTAGAAAGACGATTTCACGATAGCTTATAGGGGAAGGTTAGGGGTATATAAAGGGCTTAGGCTTATGCCTAAGCCTAGGTCTAACACAAGACAGACCAAGTCTAACACCACTACTAAGCGAACACACTAGACACCTATAAAAAGGCGTAGAGGGCTTACCTCTCCTTTAAGATACTAAATACTATTATTAACGCTTATTGCATTCTCCCTTAAGGCTAGTCTATAATAGAAACCTACTTATATCCTAACGCTTATATATACTATCCTTAAAGTATAGTGCTATAACGCGCTAGACTATAGGTAATAACTAGGACTAAATATATATAAACCTTGCCTCCTTATCCCTAATAAAGACCTTATCTACACGTAGTTTAAACTCTATAGTTATTTACTAGGAGGAGAAGTTTGCCTTAGTGCTATTATATAGCAAGCTAACTAGGAAAGGTTTGCAGCATAAGGCAGGAGAGGGCAGAGGTAGCATGTTATTAAACCTAGCGGGCTTAGAGGAGGGTTAGGATAGAATCTAATTGCGTATTTCCTTATTCTATTAACGTAGTATAGCTATTATAGTAGAGTCTTAAGCCTATTATTCTATTAATCTATAGACCTATTATATTAGCCTTTCTACTATATTAGGTTGCACCTAGTTATTCTAAATATCTAGCGCGTCTATCTCTTATTACTATTATAGTATATTTAGAAGAAGATACTAAAATATTATAGACTAGCCTTAAGGGAGAATTTAATAAGCGTTAATAATAGTATTTAGTATCTTAAAGGAGAGATAAGCCCTCTACGCCTTTTTATAGGTGTCTAGTGTGTTCGCTTAGTAGTAGTGTTAGACTTGGTCTGTCTTGTGTTAGACCTAGGCTTAGGTATAAGCCTAAGCCCTTTATAGATTATATCTACTACAATCGTACTTATATATATAGAGCTTTAGCAACCCTTACTAGAAGGTAAATAATTAGTAAACCTTCCTTACTAGAGCTCCTGCTTTTTATTAGGCACTTAGCAGTAAGCTAGCAGTTAATTAGATAGTGGGTTATACAGGGGTATTAATTAGGGTTGATTGGATTAAGATGCTCCGTGATCCGGTTAATATCCCTCCTGCAATAATAGTAGTAATCCTGTAGTAGATAACATAAATTTAACGTTAGATTATAAGAGAAAAGTTATTATTAAAGGGTTAAAGTAGAGTCTCTAGGAGTGCTACTATTCTATCTACTAATCCTCCATACCTTTATACTATTTAACCCACCTAGGCTAGTAAATCTAGGTTAGTGTACACTAGCTGTGGTACTAGGTTAGGTTTAGGTCGCACGGGCCATAGGCTTAGGTTAGGTTTAGGTTACTTAGACCTAGTAGTTAGGTTAGGTTTAGGTCGCATAGGCTATAGGCTTAGGTTAGGTTTAGGTCGCATAGGCTATAGGCTTAGGTTAGGGTTAGGTCACACAGACTATAGGCTTAGGTTAGGGTTAGGTTACACAGACTATAGGCTTAGGTAGGGTCTTATATAAGCAGGTATTAATAGGCTTTAATAGGCTATACTCCTAGAAATATACCTATTTGTCACAGTTATTAATTACAGGAACTAACCCTATTAGGTAATGCGTGTGGCTTAGTAAGACCCTTGTGTGGCTTAGTAAGACCCTAAACCTAACCTAAGCACTAGGTCTATGCGACCTAAACCTAACCCTAACCCTATTACGTAAGACCCTACCTAAGCCCATGGTCTGTGCGACCTAACCCTAACCCTAGCCTATGGCCCGTGCGAAAATTTGTGGTTAGGTTTGGGTTGGGTTCAGGGTCTGACATAAGCCAACCCAACCCCAACCCAACCTATACCCATTTACCACCCTAAACCCACCTAACTTTAGGCTAAGCCTTGTTTTCACCCATACACCCTGTGCCACGGCACAGTAGATTTAAATTAGATTCATGGCGTTGTGACGAGGTTGTTGACTTGAATATTTAACCCCTTATTATCAAAGTAACAGTGTACCAAATTTTCAACCTAGACACAAACAATAGAACGTAGCCAAAACCCTAACCAGCACCTCTCTTTAATCTAGCTTATCTTGTCGTCCTCTCCTATTGCCGTCTCTAGAATCCGACTGAACTTGAGCCGTGGCAGGTTTGAAGATAACCCTTGGTGTTGTTTCTAGGACTGGCTACCTATGGCAGTCTGTGTTTCTAGGCGTGGCAACTGATGGGACCGCTCCGCCTATAACCGCCAAAGCCATCAGATCCAAGGCTGAAATATTGATCCATGATCATTTCAAAAGTGCAGGCTTTATGCATTCGCCATAGAGTATCTTTTAAGGTGCAAAGGCATCGTCCACCAATGAACGACGTCTCTCGGACGACACCGCTCGATCCGTCCCTTATACAGCCTCCCAGGTTATCCTCGATTTGTGTCATCCGATTCTTAAAATTGGCAAGGTCTTTTGTTAAAAAATCTTGGCATGTTATTGAGCAGTCAGAATCGCCAGTCAATCGAGATCGGTAATCCGCGTGCGTTATTACGACTCTGTGACAGTTTTTTTTTTGGAAAAGAGGTGTTGCAGTCGCAGAGGTGATGAAGAATATCAAGGACAAATAGAAAGATAGGTAGAGCATGATAAAGTTGGCCAAATAAGAGAATATTAAAGTTGGATAATTTGTAGAAATCTTTGTCTTCTTTCTACATAAAGTGGGCAGATTGTACTCGCTTTATACCCTTAAGCAGATGCGCCCTTACCTCCTTCACAAAGTTTAGGGATACGCTGGTCACATGGGTACTATGTTAAACTTTTAATTATGAGGATCATCAGTACTAGTAGGCTTACTGCCGAAGCTTTATATGCTCACCAATGAGATAAAGCAGGTGTATAGAATAGTAGCGCGTTATCGGCGCAATTACGCGCAACGGACCGACTTCACGGTATCTACGGTGTAGGTACGGAGGTGACTTTCAAAAGTTCTTGCTAACAGGGGTGTCTATATTACCGCTGTGATACCACCAAAGCTTAGACAACTTAGTCGCGCCGCCCCTCCTTATACTTATTACTACCTTTAAGTCTAATAATCTCCTAGATATAAAACTATATATGCTCTATCTAAGCCTAGATTTAGTATTAAGGTGGCTAATCCTAAGCTTTTAGCTATACGTTTATACCCTCTACTTAATTCTTAAGAACGCCCTTCCTAGTAGTTCACTATTTAAGTTATTAGCGCTAATTTAGGTAGTAAATTTATGTGGAAATTTGGATCACTAAGGTTAGGAATGATTTGGGAGATGGATTATTAGATTGTCTCTACTACAATCGGACTTAAATATATAGAGCTTTAGCTACCCTTACTAG